TTGAATGTGAGATGGAGTTGGAGAGTGTTATGGGACTTGGGAATACATATGTCAGATGGAATGTAGATGTTCCCAAAGAGTCCTGGTATAGACCTTGTTTTCTGTCTTGTAATTAATATTTGATTCCCAGAGAGTTGGGGAAAATAATCACATTCTAGTAACACCAGTGGATCATGCCAGTACCATCCATGCTGGTTATTTCCAGGTGCTGGAAATTATGATTTACACGCACATACAGGTGTCTAAATACGTTTTCAGTTTCCTAGGTGAAGTCCCTAGGTTTTTTGTTGTAGATTCTGTGGTGTACATTGTGAAGAGAAGTTTTGTTTTTGCACCAGCAAAGACGAACATCCACATTGCCTTGCACCCTCGCCAACACTTGGTATGGCCTAGTGGGTTTTCATCCACTTGTTTGCTTTCTCATGAGCAGCATCTGGTGCATGACGATGTTAAGTACCTTCCCCGACCTTGTTTCTCATTTGTGTGCTGTGTTTAATGAGGTGGACACCCATGTCTCTGGCTGTATTTGACACTGAGTTTGTTTACCAATTGGTGAATGCCGAGTCCTTTGTGTATACTAGATAGACACAAAGAAAGGTCTTTCACCAGAAGTGACATTTGCAGATATCACATTTTCTTTGAACCACCATTTCTTTCATGTAAGCATCTTTCAGAGTAAAAGTTTTTCTTTTATTTTAATGAAATCAAATGTATTATTTCTTACGGATTGTTGAGCTAAGAAATCAAATGCTAAATTGCACAGATTTTCTCCTTTTTAAAATGTTTTTTATTCTACACGCTAGTCCTGCTCTATATCTACCCTATGGCTCATTTTGGATTAATTTTGACACAGAACCTGGGGGTGGGAGGGTCCTGTATACAGATATCTAATTGTTCTCACACTCAGTGGTGGATACCCAGTGTTTTCTCCACCTAGCACAGTGGTTCTCACCCTTTCTAATGCTGAGACCCTTTAACACAATTCCTCGTGTTCTGGTGACCCCCAACCCTAAAATTATTTTTGTGGCTACTTCATAACTGCAATTTTGCTACGGTTGCAAATTGTAATGGAAATATCTGTTTTCTGAGAGGGGCATCTGACCTCCCCAGAGGGGTCGTGACCCACAAGTTGAGAAACACCACTCTAGCATCACAGTGGTGGCAACACTCTGGACCCCGAGCACTTCAGGCTTCCGGTGCACTGAAGCAGTAGGACACCCCCTAGGGGCACAGCTGATGTGAAGCTAGACGCGGTCCAAAGATCTAGAGACCCGGCCAAGCCCGCAACAGTGCATCCAGGTGCTGAATAGATGCAGCGCCTCATGTTCTAGAGCATGAGCACTTGACTGAACCTCATCCTTCTGACCAAACATCCTCAGTGCCAACCCATCTGGAAGTGGACCAGCCTAGCAGGCAGGAACCTGCGTCTCTGTACTGTAAAGACCTCGCTGAATGGCTGGCCTCCCTCAGAGCCACGTCATATGTATGACCTCAACAATCCTACCTGCTTTGCCTGCCTGGGCTACCACCATGCCTCACTTTCCTAGGGTCTGCAGTCCAGAGTCACAGGTTTATGGTGCCTCGCTCCTTGGAACTTAAGCTGTCCCTGTACTTGACCGGAACTGAGTCTTCCTCCTTCCCTAGGCCCAAACCTTAGGAAAATGTATTCTTCCTCAGAGCCTTGTTAAGGCTGGAGGCATGGCTTCACCTGGAGCCCAGGCATGGGATGCTTGGAAATTTCCCAAAGAAAACAGTCTAAGTTTAATGAGAGCACTATAGCCACGCACACACTGACAGGATGGAAAGTGAGCCCATGCCTGCACCCCAGTGCCCAGATGCACGCACCGCCCTGCCCAAAGGTCCAGTCCCACCGCTGCAGTGCGTGAGAGCCCCGGGCCTGAGTCTCACTGATGTTACAGCTGCTGCTGGGCAGAGTGAGACCCAGTGCTGACAGAGGAGCCCCCTCCTATAGTACAAAGACAGGAAGAGGCGTTTCCCCAAAGCCCTTACCCGAAAATCTCTGCAGCATTGAAACTGCCGAAGACCTTAACCCTGACACCAGCTGTCATTGCTGCTGTTCATCGCCGTTGGAAAGCCTTGGAGTCAATTCAGTGCTGCTTTGGTGTTTTGTTTGTTTGGCTTTTGTTTGTTTGTTTGTTTTGTTTTGTTTTGTTTTGTTTTGTTTGAGATGAGGTTTCTCTGTGTAGTCTTGGTGCCTGTCCTGGAGCTCGCTCTGTAGACCAGGCTGGCCTTGAACTCACAGAGATCCGCTAGGCTCTGCCTCCCGAGTGCTGGGATTAAAGGCGTGTGCCACCACCGCCCGCCCAGCTTACTCACTCAGTGCTTCTTAAGCTTCCCCACTGCTGGCCAGCCCTTTCTTACATAACCCTTTGGTGTGGAGGTGCACAGATAGGCATACACACCAAACATTTAGTGATCACAAGTCACAAGGAAATTCACTTTAAGACAATGATTTGATGTGCGTGTTAAAGATGAAAGCAAACGTGTGCACTAAATGAGATGACTGTGCTCAGCTCATTTCATAGAGAAATGAATCTGGACTGGACATTCGGTGCTGCCGAGATCACAGCAGCAACATCACATCTCAGAACTGATCCATATTTTGATTTTATAATAGTGCACGCACGCACGCGCGCGCGCACACACACACACACACGCCACAGCATGAGTGTGGGAGTCAGAAGATCTCCAGAGAACTAAGCTTAGGTCACTCGGCTTGACAGAATCACCTCTTCCCACTGAGCTGTCCCACTGGACCAGTGACAGCAAATACTAAGAGTGCTGTTTTGTATACAGAGTACAAAATGACAGAACTATGTTTGGAGCCATTTCAAAGCAGAATTGTGGCATCACACACACACACACACACACACACACACATGCATGCACACACTATAGCACTTAAATACATAAAGCAAGTGTCAATGGACAGGAAAAGAGAAATAAAGACCAAAAGGCATGATAGTCTTCTGTATGAAGGGGACTTCCATACTCCTCCAAAGATGGACAGATCAACTGGAAGAAAATAAGAAAATACTGGATTTGAATACTACGTTGACCGAATAACCTAACCAAGAAACACAGAACTTTTCCATTCAAACGCAATATACCACATGTATTTTTCTGATGTCCACAGACTACTCTTCAGCATACACTATATGATGGATTACAAGATGTCTTGATGAATTGATGTGACAAGAGTTTGCACTGAGCAGCTCCACGCTAGCCTCCCTCACCACGTCTTATTCTAACATCTTCCTCTAAGTTGAAACATACCACCCTGGAGGACCTATTATATTTAGGAAGAAACAAAGTTCTAACATCTGAGAAAGTTGAAAGTTACAAGATATGCAAGGTCCTTTCATCATATCAATGGAATATCAATGTGATATACCCAGGAATTAACTCTTTGGCTCAGATGTGGATCAGTATTAAAGTACTAATGTGTTGCTGTCATGGACTCTGAAGGGTGTTATATGTGTGTTCATGTGTTTACTTTTGTGTTCTTATTATTTAATATTTATAATGTGATTCATTATTCATCTATTCAAAAGCACTTTCTAATACTGAGGCCCTATTCTGGAAATACAGTAGTCTGTGTTTTATAATCAAGTGACTTATATAATAAATATCTGGAATTTACCTAAGCTTTCTGTAGTAAGAATTCTGTTTACCATAACTACATTATATATTTTTTGAATGAATATTTATTTTAAAATAATAACTTCACAATGGCCAAAAATTAAAGTAGGTAAACAAAATTGATATCTTATTTATTTATTTATTTATTTATTTAGTTGGTTGGTTAGTTAGTTAGTTAGTTAGTTATTTGTCTTTCAAGATGGTTTCTCTGTGTATCCCTGGCTGTCTGGAAACTCTTTGTATAGACCAGGCTGGCCATACACCTCACACTCACAGAGATCCACCTGCCTCTACCACCCAACTGCTAGGATTAAAAGGGTGTGCCACCATGCCTGGCTAATATTCTAATTCTTAACAAGAGTAGTAGCTCATGAATACAGTTAAGTGAGTTTGTTTTATATTTATATTTTGCTTTCATGATAATATAGAGTTTTAATCCCCACAATGCATTCTCCCAGGTTTCATATCATTCATGCCTAAGATGTGAGCATCTTAGGTCACAGAACTGTTAAGGTGGGGTCCTAGAGTGCCTCATCTAGCTTGGAATTTCAGTGCATGCTGAATACTGTCAGAGGATCAAATCAGTGTTTATTCTAATTTCCAGTGTATAAATCTTTACCATATGATCATATAAATATGACACGGTATCACCTTTGGTCACTTAATTTCTAAATCGGCATATATTTGAAGTTTGTTACTAACAAAGGTAACCTAAAATATTTTGACATAAAAATATTTCTTGCATGACACGAGCCTCTAGGGACCACACACCATAATGTGTAAGTGGTGTGTTGTTATAGTCCACACATCCTTCTGGGGCCTTAAAATGGTTGCTCTTGTAGGGGGAAATGCCACATTCGGTGGTTTTGTGTCATCAGCAAAGGAGTGTTGCTTTTACTACAGAAGGGAGGAGTCACGATAAGGAACGATTCTAGAAAATACAGTGAACAGATGTAGTGCCACAAAGACTTTCAATAAGTAGTCAAAACTTGAATCAAAAGGAACCTTAAAGTTGAACACATCTTAATCACTATGCAGACTCCTCCATCAAGGACTCACCAACTCTCACAGGCACCTTGGCTCTCGATGTCACAGAGTCTAAGGCCTGGCAGAATTCCTTTAACATTACGTAGTGTTATTGCACTTTTAATTGAGAAGACTTATTTGTCATCACATTTTAAACTCCTTAACTGGCTCATTTTCTTTCAATAAAGTTGGATCAGCTTTCTTTGCTTGTTTTAAGACCCTTGGAATATAATTTGAGTCATGTGATGCTCCCGGGTAAGAATATTCTTAAATATTTTATGTATTCATTTTTTTTATTTCTCACAATGTAGGGGCAGTTCAGCATTAACTTAGCAGGAACTGGGATGAAGATATCCAACACAGCAAAGTGGCTCGCTCAGGGGAGGTATGCCTCTGTCATCATCCACAGATCCCAAGTAAGTCCTGCAGGACCAAAGAGTCTGGGAATCACTTCTGTGCTGTGAGTTAGCACTAAAGGCCCCCAAACTCAGGTGTAAGCCCATATAAGACCAAAGACCAGACACTTACAGTGTGTCATGTATATGCCACATATAATGGGGAATAAGTTGATTTTATTGATGTGAATAAAGACACACAAGTTTAAATATGGGCTCCACACACATGAACATGGATCTCAGATTTCAAACTTATGACTGGACATGTGTGTATTTTTTAAAGGTAGTGATTTAACTGTACTAGGCCTAGTAGCATAGACTTGTAATCCCAGCTACTCTAGAGGCTGAGGCCGAAGACCTGAAAGTTTAAGGCCAGGTTATGAAGTGAATTCAAGGGTTAGCCTGAGTAATTTAGTGAGAGTTTCTCTGAAAAGAAACTGAAGATGGCTGAAGCTGTAGATGGGTGAGAGAGCATCCACCTAGCAAGGGCTACCAGTCCCAAGGTTCAACCACCAGTGTGGAAAAATCAAAACAAACAAAACTCCCAATGGAGATTTAGGGTCTAATATTTCAAAGTGATGGTTCAATTTGGGTTTGATGGTTCAATAAAATTTACTTATCTCCTTACTTTAGTGTAGTGAAGGGATTATTGAACTGAGAGCCAGTTAACAAATATCTTCAAAATGTTTTTTCAGGAATTAAGAGTATCCACTTATGTGGTACCCCTATTTTCCTGCCAATCTCTATCTAGGTAACACTACTGTTTTTATCTATGTGAATAGCTATATGGGAAAAGGAAATGGCTCAGTTGGTAAAGTCCCTTCCACACAAACATGAGGACCTGGCCCTGCATCTATAACCCTGGTGCTACAGTAAGAGTGGAGAAAGACTTCCTAGAAGTCACTAGCCAAATTAATGAGCTCCACTTTCAGTGAGAGACCCTGCCTCATTAAATAAAGTGGGAAGCTGTGGAAGAAGACACCGGATGTCAACTTCTGGCCTCCACATGTACTCACACACATGTGCACACTCACCTACATACACAGACCCACATACTCACCAATACAAGTCAACATACTGATGAAAAATATGTGTGCTGAGATGAAGTATGTAAATCATACTGTAGTTTATTTGACATGAGCAACAGTGGGTATGAATCTTAGACTGTCCGTTTTCTTTGGACCCACACATGACCTGCATTGAACATCAACTATTACAGGGATCCTTGGCTAAGACTCCAGCCATATGATTCAAAGCGGGTGATTTTTTCTGTGTTGTGTCCGATCATCAGCTTGTATAAAAGTCTCTTGTGTTTTCTACCTCTTTATACTTTCAGGACGGAACCAAGGTCTATGGCAGATGCGGAGGGTTCTGTGGAAAATGCATTCCCCACATGGCAACAGGGCTCCCAATTCAAGTACTCTGAACATTCAGAACTCAGAAGTACTGTAAAGGTGATGGTGCTCTGTGAAACACAGGTGTCTGGTGCTCCTTCCTCACTCTTGGCTTCCTGAGACTTCCATATTCAAACCTTTTTTGTCTGGGTGCTCATCAGGGTTTCAGTCCACATAATGTTGATAGGTTTTCCAAGAGAAACTTAACAGACATATCACTCTAATCGGGATCTTTTTTTAATGTCATAATTTATTGTGGGGAATACAAGCATGTTTGAATGAATTCTATCAAGAAAATGTTGCTGTTAACAGCTTGGACTGGACTATAATTATGTTCTACTATTAAACACACATGTAAATAAACCCCTGATCAGTTTACTATAGTACAATGAAGTGTCATTGTGATGTTAAAATGGAGCAAACAAGAATTAGGAGAAACTATTTTAAATTGCTATAAGCATTATTAAATCCCTCAGTAAATATCAAATTAATAACTATGCCAAATAAGCATGTTGACACCATACTTCCTCCTGATATGATTTTGATTTACTATTTTATTTTTTCTTTAATTTTATGTATGGACTTTGGTGCTTCAATAAAAATGGTTCTAAAAATGTAATACAATTTTTTAATTAGAAATGTGCTTGTGTTAAGTATTAAATAGAAAGTGTTGTGACAAAATAGAGAAGGTATGATATATTGGGATTTGATTTTTAAAGCCTACCTCTAATTATGAGTGATATGCTGTTTTTATAATGTTTATGTACCATTGTACCTTTATAACCCATATATGTAACTACCCTTAAAAATCTATTTTCTCAAGGTTATATACTTTATTTTGTTAACCAACTAGAAAGATGGAGATTCTTAAAATTCCAGTGATCCAAAGTTTTTGTTAAACATGCAATTCTGTTTTCCTGACCAAAAAAAATTTTTATTAGAGATTGTGTGGTCAGGTTCTCTAGAAGAACAGGATAGATAGAACAAATTTTTAAGGGCATTATTAGGTTGGTTTACACAATACAGTCTGTATATTCCAACAATAGTTGTCTTCACACTGGAAAGCTGGATGCCCCCAGCTGTCTCAATCTAGTGCTAAGGGCCTGGATGCTTGTTGGAGTGATACAGGAGGCAATAGCAGAATGACACTGGAGCAGGGATGCTGGTCTTCGGTACATGTGGGAAAGCTGAAAAGCTGACATCAGAGGAAAACGACAACCCAGTCATGAGTGCACCAGCAAGACACAAAGAGAAGCTGGAAAAGCAAAAGCTTTCCCTTCCAAAGATAGGATGGCTCTTCTCCACAGTAAACCTAATTGGATGGTCTCTCACTGGTGTGCACAGTCGGCCTGCCTTCTGGGCAAGTTCAGATCCTGTCACACTGAAGGTCAGTAGTACCCATCACAGGGAACCTCAGCTACCTTCTACTAGGGTGTTCATGAATGAATATAAAAATGCACCACTATAGGTGGATTCTCAGGTATTAAGAGATTGCTTTTCATGTGGATAATATAATGATGTGTTATATGATGGTGGGATTTTAAAAAGCAAATTAGCAAATATCTTCTCATGTTGGCCTACCCTATAAACAAAAAAAAAATGGGATTTACTAATGCATCTGCCAGTAAATATCAGTGTGCTAGTTTTACCCTCAAAATGTTTTCTTTCAAATATTTGCTAGAGATGTATAAGGTGCTGTATAAGACACTGGATTAAACCAGCTGCCAATGTAGTCAAACACTTGCAGAACTCTGAAATGAACAGACATTAAGACAAAATAGACGTTTTCCAATAAATGTTTCATTTGTTATTAAAGCATTGTAATTTATAAACATCTAAATAAAAATGTATTTGTGTGGCATTAGTAACCTTATTTTCATGTCCCTCACATATTGAAAAGGACCCATACTGGAATCTCTTCAGGACACAGAGACTTATATTGCTTACAAACTGTATGGCCGTGGCAGGCTTCTTGCTAACTGTTCTTATAGCTTAAATTAATCCATTTCTATAAATCTATACCTTGCCACGTGGCTCATGGCTTACCAGCATCTTCACATGCTGCTTGTCATGGCGGCGGCTGGCAGTGACTCCCTCCACCTTCCTGTTTTTTCAATTCTCCTCTCTGTTAGTTCTGCCTATACTTCTTGCCTGGCCACTGGCCAATAAGTGTTTTATTTATTGACCAATCAGAGCAATTTGACATACAGAACATCCCACAGCACCCCCCCCCTTTTTTTTAAAGAAGAAGGTTTTAACTTTTACACAACTTTAAAGTCAGCTTGGTATATTTGGGAATTTGGGCGTAGCTTTTCTTACTACTTTTTGCTGGAGGGGTGTGCCGTATTTAATGGGGACACAAAGAAAATTTTAGGATTATGGAGTAGTCCATAAGGGTTTATCATCTGAGCCAGTTGTCTTGAAATGGTTCTGGATGTTGGATCATCTGGGCTTTTTGGTGTCATTGGAGACCTTTTAGGGGGTCTTGGCTGGTCAAACCTGATGTATCTTAATCTGGAACAAGTCCATAGCCTCTTACTTTCTGTGGAAACAAAAGCAGAGCCTCTTTTCCAAGGCAACATATCCTTATATCCAAATTTTGAAGTCAAGGTACCTTTAAAATACACATTTTGGCATAACTCAACAGCTTTTGTAATCAAAAATGTTTTTTAGTTACGAATATCAAAAAGAAAATAATCTAGGTTTTTTTGTGTGAGTGCCATCTTTACATGGCTTATTTTTTATATTACCTTGAACCTATTGCTTTAAACTGTAGCATTCTAAGACTGAAACGGAGCTGTGGCTGCTGGCTCCGCCCACTTTAGCTTCCCAACATGGCAGTGGTAAGTTTTCTGCTAGCTCTGGGAGCCATCAACTCTCAGAAATAGTGGGTCTATGTTTTTATCAAAGAATCATGTAGCCAGAAACCTCTTTTTTTGTTTTGTACTAGTAAAGGCTAAATCCACAATGCAGCTTAATGTGCCACTTGCAGAGGCCTCATTCC